GGTGACAAGATGTCAGCAGCAGCTTTAATCAGTTTCCCTTCAGGATCAGTGGAGTTTAAGAGCTCCTCTTATCTCAATCTGCGCCGTGCAGCAGGTGGAAAATGAGACAAACAGGTTCTGATTGAGTTCATTTCCAGCCTGATGGGAAGCGACTGCCTGCTGGAGCAGCAGAGAGTAAAGCATGAAGCCTCTGCAGCAGAGAGGGACGAATTCAGCTTATTAACCACAGAATCCATTTAAACTAGCAGCCTGAGTCATTTGATATGTAAATAAAACTATTATTTCTGATAGTCCATCAGTCCAACTCTGCAAGACTCCAAACCAGGGGCAGATTCACCATTAGGCAAAACTAGGCAGCTCCTGGGGGCCCAATAAAACTCCTGTTACATAACACAACTATTCCTTATTTGTGCACATTAATTATGTTTTTGGCTAAAATGCCATCAGAACGCTGATAATATTAAGTGTGTCTCAGCCCCCCCCTTCAGTGTCCGCCATATTGGATCAGTCCATTTGCTGCACATGTTCAGAAAGGTCCAAACAGACAGCAGCAAACCATTTGAAAAGAAACGATGCAAAGAGCAGTGTTGCCAACTTAGCGCTTTAGTCGCTATATTTAGCCACTTTTCAGACCCCTCTAGCACTTTGATTTCTAAAAAGCTCCTAGCGCCAAATCTAGAGACTTTTTTCTGCTACTGGAGACTTTGGAGACAACATCTAAAAGCAGCGAACTCTGCTCTCCAGAGCGAGTAGATTGGTAACCCCGCCTCCTGCTCTCCTCTATCTTGTCTGCTGTCATGATTCATGCAGCTATTATTTCATCCAAATGAAAAATGGAGAACAGATAAGCAGATCATGGCTTGTCTACAGTGAGAAGAAGGACTGGGTTATTTACTTTGGCCTTTTTGGAAACACAGGAAGGAGCAATCAGCTAAGTGAGCTTAGTGCTTGGAAAAAATCTTTCATTCCTTTAGAGACAGCATGAAAAGTCAGCTGAGTACAAAACATAGAGAGGAAAACAAGAAGAAAAGGGACAAGAAGAGAGGGACACAACCTAGAACAGATAATGGATGTCTATCCTATTAACATTTCTCTATCTGGAGAATGGCTCTGTTTTATGTATTGTTTTCTCCCCTGCCTGTCTTTGACTAGGGCCCCAAATTTCCTAAATCCGCCCCTGAAGAGCAGAACCATACATCGATTCTAAAGGATCTGCAGTGGGATTATTTTAAACAGTTTAATGATGAGAATGACGTAGGATTACGATAAACATTAATAACCTGATATTAATGATGGTAGATGGGGGGGGGGTTCAGCTTTAACCGACGGTGAAGGTGGCGCCCCCACCCCAGATTACAGAAAACTGTCAGAGCAACATATTATTATTATTGGTTTTATTTATTATTCTGTCTGGTGACTTTAGTTTGACGCCTTTGTTTAAAGCTGATTATAAACAATTTAAATATTTGATCATATTTATTTAATCAAATATTGTAGTTTCCTGGTTTAATAATGTTTAATTATAAACAAATGTTTGTTTACTTATTCAATATTTAACATATAATAATGTGTTTGTTTTTAAATATAGCGTTAAACGGTAAGTGTTTGTGCCAGAGGGACCTTTAAAGAAGTAACTCCATAAAAATAAGGAAATGATTAAACTCTAGGAAAAGAATTTTTTCCTTTATTTCTGTTTAATAAATGTCGTCAGAGATGATCTGAAGTTATTTCTTTAAATATTCAATTTTGGATTTTTCTTTGATAAATTAGTTTTAAAAAAACACCCAAAAAACATTACATTTCCTCATTAGCATCATTTCTGTTTTGCTGTTTCATTTTTAATGAAGCTCTGTTTAATAAGGACCTGATTTTAGATTAAAATCAAACTTCTGTTGAAGTCGTTCCAAAAAATCGCAGAAGAAGAAGAAGAAGAAGAAGAAGAAGAAGAAGAAAGTCTCGTTCCGTTTGTTTCTGCTGGTATTTTGAAGAGCTGAAGCTGTGAGAACAAAGAAAGTCCTGGTTTTAAAAATGGCCTCTCTGATCCCTGGAAACTCTCCGCCGCCTCGGCAGGAAAATAAAGCGGAGCGTTTTCCTCCTGACAAAGTGACAGTGGCAGCTTTAATCTGTCTGAAAGGCGATAACGCTCAGTGACCATCGATCCAGTAAAGATTTCTGACGACCGTCCGTGATTGTCTTTGTCCCGCCGCCGTCTGCAGAGACTCTGAAGTGCTGATGAGCAGCCCCGTCTTCCCTATCATTGCTCCTGGTCGTCCCTCTCCATTCCTCCTGGAGCCTCGGCTCGTTTCACCCGCCGCCCCGAGGCTCTCCGCGTCGATGACGGACTCAGATCACTAATTGCTTTTTAAAAACATTAATTGTTTCCCTCAGCTCCGCTCTCTTATTGGGCCTGTTTAAGCGCTCTGACTCTCCTTAAATGCTGACCTCTTCATCCAGCTGGGGATCCTTATTGTCTTCCTCAGCTGATTGGATGATGACCTCCACATCTGGAGAGGCCTGAGAGAAAAAATCTAAAGGAGGCTGTTTGATCAGAGAAGATTTGTCCAGCTGATCCACCTCCCTGTTCTTCTGTTTAAAGCTGCCGCAGACGGGCTACCGTTAGCCCTGGCTGCCGCAGACGGGCTACCGTTAGCCCTGGCTGCCGCAGACGGGCTAACTTTAGACCTGGCTGCCGCAGACGGGCTAACTTTAGACCTGGCTGCCGCAGACGGGCTACTGTTAGCCCTGGCTGCCGCAAACGGGCTAACTTTAGACCTGGCTGCCGCAGACGGGCTACTGTTAGCCCTGGCTGCCGCAAACGGGCTTACTTTAGACCTGGCTGCCGCAGACGGGCTATCGTTAGCCCTGGCTGCCACAAACGGGCTAACTTTAGACCTGGCTGCCACAGACGGGCTATCATTAACCCTGGCTGCCGCAGACGGGCTATCGTTAACCCTGGCTGCCGCAGACGGGCTATCGTTAGCCCTGGCTGCCGCAAACAGGCCAACTTTAGACATGGCTGCCGCAGACTGGCTATCGTTAGCCCTGGCTGCCACAAACAGGCTATCGTTAGCCCTGGCTGCCACAAACGGGCTAACTTTAGACCTGGCTGCCACAAACGGGCTAACTTTAGACCTGGCTGCCACAAACGGGCTAACTTTAGACCTGGCTGCCGCAGACGGGCTATCGTTAGCCCTGGCTGCCGCAGACTGGCTATCGTTAACCCTGGCTGCCGCAGACGGGCTATCGTTAGCCCTGGCTGCCACAAACAGGCTATCGTTAGCCCTGGCTGCCACAAACGGGCTAACTTTAGACCTGGCTGCCACAAACGGGCTAACTTTAGACCTGGCTGCCGCAGACTGGCTATCGTTAACCCTGGCTGCCGCAGACGGGCTATCGTTAGCCCTGGCTGCCGCAAACAGGCTAACTTTAGACATGGCTGCCGCAGACGGGCTATCGTTAGCCCTGGCTGCCGCAAACAGGCTAACTTTAGACATGGCTGCCGCAGACGGGCTATCGTTAGCCCTGGCTGCCGCAAACAGGCTAACTTTAGACATGGCTGCCGCAGACTGGCTATCGTTAGCCCTGGCTGCCGCAAACAGGCTAACTTTAGACATGGCTGCCGCAGACTGGCTATCGTTAGCCCTGGCTGCCACAAACAGGCTATCGTTAGCCCTGGCTGCCACAAACGGGCTAACTTTAGACCTGGCTGCCGCAGACGGGCTATCGTTAGCCCTGGCTGCCGCAAACAGGCTAACTTTAGACCTGGCTGCCGCAGACGGGCTATCGTTAGCCCTGGCTGCCGCAAACAGGCTAACTTTAGACCTGGCTGCCGCAGACGGGCTATCGTTAGCCCTGGCTGCCGCAATCTCAAGCTGGGACAATCTCAAGAACGAGATTGACAGCTCTGATGCATGCTGGGTAAAGAGACAGGGGTGAGAACAACATCCGGGGACTTAGACTGTTGTCAGTCTGCTGTTCTTGTGAACAGTGCTAGCTCTGAGGCTGATGACGTTTCACAAGGACACAAGAACACACAAAAACACAGATTAAGAAACGGCTACTGACGGCGTATAGAGAGGCTCCGACTAGGCAGGGTGCGCAGATCTCTGCAGATTTTTTTCACTTCTGTCTCTGTGCCATACAAACATTAAAACTATTCCCACAGTTGACTTGGACAGATTATAAAAAGTTATCAGAAATAAATACAAAAATAAAAGAAGCTTCACTAAACGAGTCTGTGCAGCATCTAAAGCTAGAAAAGATCAATCTGTTTTCTGTCCTCCTGAACTCCCATCAAGGGGAAAGTTTTCTATTTTAATGTTTCATTCATTGCTTTTGCTCCAGTCTGTCCTGTTTACTATAAACGCGATGTGTGACTCCAAACCGACTCTTTCCCCATGCAAATAACAGATTTTATTTTGTATTTTCCTCCAAAGCGAATAAGTTTTACTTTGTAACTGCGTCTCTATTCCTGTCAGACCCAGGAAATTGCTGCTGAATTGCTGCGCAGTCCGACTAAAATAGACCTGTGCTCTATCTCAGTCGGAGCTACGCTGCCCCCTGCAGGAAATTATCCTCATTGACTTTCAATCAGCGCTAAACTCCACCACCTCTAAGGCACGATTTTCTGCCGTATCAGATGCAAAATCGGTTTCGGTCTGTTCTGGCCTTTAGGACAGTTTAGATGCAGATCATAAGGTCATAGGGCAAAGGTCAAAAGGTCAGTAGCTGACCGCATTGACTACAAACATTGGTCATGTGTTCAATCAAACCTTTTAATCGGAGCTTTTCTCTCTAAATGTGATCATTAGTTAACGGATATTTCATTTTTGTGCCTCAGGTCTCAGTGTCCACAGGTTTTATTGCCTCTGGTATGTTTTCAAAGATGCTAACAGCGCTAACAGCGCTCCATCTGATTATTCCTAATGACTGTGGGTCTGGATGATGCAGATCTTTGGCAGTCAGTGTTCAGCGGGGGGCTGGGGCGGGGGGGTACTCACTGTTACTTACTTGAACGGCTTCTCTCCGGTGTGCGTGCGGATGTGGTTGTTGAGGGTGGTGGCGCCGGCGAAGGCGCGGCCGCAGTAGCCGCACTTGAACGGTCGGTCGCTGGAGTGCGTCACCACGTGGTTCCTCAGCTCCGAGGGCTGAGAGAAGGACTGGGAGCAATGGCCGCACTGGTACGGTCTGAAAGGGAGAGGGAGACGCATCTATGATGATTCATGGCGTTTATGCAGGTCATCATCAAAGTCATCGGGATTGTTAATTGATTAAAATAAACAGCTATTTTAATAATGGAATAACCATTTACTGGAGGAAAGAGACTCTAAACTATTGCTGGAAAAATGAGTCATTGAACTAACATCTACATCCTGCATTTAAGATGAAAATCTTCCTCAGGTGGAAACTTTAACTTCAATTAAATCAAATTATGCAAGAAAATCTCCTTTTAAGCACCTTTTATCTGATTATTAATCAGTTAACTGAAAAATTTGTCAAACTATTAATAATCTATTAATTTTTTTCCTGTGAAAGACGATAAAAATGTTGCTTTAATAACTGAGCTTATAGAACCAAAAATAAGATACTGCAGCTTTAACTGAATGTAAAAATATGGATAATTTCTAAGCTTTATTAGAAAAGATTTGGTGATTATTTGATTTAAAGCTTATTTTATATGATCAAAAGCAACTAATATGTTTTTAAAAAGAAAACTTGAATAAAAGGTTTTTCAAAAATGAAAAAAAACTCTGAAAAACGTCTCAATGAAAAAACCTAAAGGTTCTATGAGTAAACATTATAAATATATGTTTTTTTTCTGATTTTGATTCATAAATGTTCATTTTTGACATACTTTTGGAGATTTTTGTTTTTCTAAATTTGTAAAATACAGCACTGAAAAAATCTAGAAAATAAAATCAAAACATTTGCAAACTTAAAAAATAATGGCTGACCTTTTGCAGACAAACTGTAAATCATTTTTCTTTCATTAGTGTCAATATGTTGCATTTTCATTTCCAGCTGTGGTTTAAAATAACTCGATTCACAGAAAACTTTATGAAAGTAAATAAAAAGAAGAAAATTGAGACCGAAATTGGATAAAATGAGAAAACGACAATATTTGGAAAAACTAATTAATTAGCATCCAGTTTGCTCCTAGAAGAATAGACAAAAATGCACCAGAGGGAGGATCTGTGAGGGAGGGGGGAGTAGGACACTGCTCTGGTCACCACGGCAACGTGACCCTCATCCACACTGCAGGCCACGATTCTGATCGGACAATTTATCACAAGGAGACGCTGATAGAGACGGCGAATACCGAGATCTGGATTAATAGAGCGGGCTCCTCCACATGTAGCTGATCTAATCTAGAACCAATCAGCTCGCTGCTCACATCCAGAAACATCTGGACAGCAGCTGGGAGCTCCTCCTCAGCTTCAGATTCTGCCTGGTTTCTCCTCTAAGACCTTCCATCAAAGAAATCAGAGATCTGAGGCTGAATTCACAGATTCTCAGGAAAAAAATTTGAAATTCTGTGATGTTAAAAAGTTAATTTGAAACAAAAAGACTCAGATGATTTCTTCTGACTTTACAGAAACCTTTTTCTATTTTTCCTTTGAAATCAACACCACAGTTACTGATTGTTTGGCTTAAATGTTCCTTTCGTTCGTCCGCCGTGGCCCTGATGCTCGTTAGCAGCGGTAACAAATTAAAAATCATCCAGGGTCTGAATAAAGAAAATCATCAACCAATAAAGGTCTGGAGACATTTTTAGTTAAAATCAATTACTTTAAACAGAATTTAACACTGAAATAAAATGAGGTTTTTATACATCCATGTAAAAAATAAATAAATAAATATATATATATATAAAAATTGAAGAGTTTTCCATTTTAAAATCTAAAGTGTTTTTTGAAGTAGAGAACAACAATCATCATTTCCTGATTCCCATATTTTCTCAGGCACCTGAACTGATGGTTTGTTATTTTTCTTTCTTTTTTCTGTCTTAATGTTGCCAGTGGGCTTCATGCTGCCCTGCAAGGCTTTAAACCTGGGTTTAACCGGAGACTAAGCCATTCTCAAGCACATATCAAGGAGCTCATTTTGAGCCTGGATCCAGATTTATTGTTGATTCTGTTCATGGTGGAGAATCCTGCTTCACAGCAGCAGGTTGAGCCAAACATCCTCTAAATGTGCAGGGTCATCTTTGAGCACGCCATTTCACTTTTCTTTCACCAGTTCACCGCAGTTCTTCCAGCAGTCCACACTTTCTCTGCTCTCTTTTTCTCATGGTCTTCTCCTTCTTTCCCATCGCCCGGCTTGCCACAGGTTTGCCTGCTGTGTCTAAAAGTAGCAGCAGCAGCAACCCAGACTGACAGCTCATGGGCTCATTTGGATCACGTGCAGCCTGGAGCCAGACGCTCCCCAGGGCTTTACCGTATTAACAGGAGAAGAGGCGCAAGTGAAATTAGACACTGTTGTCAGACAACATGGGATAATTTTAAATGTTTTAAATCAGGTTGGGTCCGGATTAGCCAGCAGGTGGGTTCGGATCCGGACCGCGGTCTGCTAATCTGTGACCTCTGACCTATAGAATGAATCTGACTGATGATGATAATGGAGGAAAAACATGGAGTAAAGCAGCTTCCAAGCAGCTGAGATGTTTCCTTCAACCCGTTTAGAAGCAGACAGACATCCTAACAGTGGATGACTGAGCTCCTCACCCTATCTCTAAGGGAGAGCCCAGCCACCCTGCGAAGGAAACTCATTTCGGCTGCTTGTATTTGCGATCTTGTCCTTTGTGTCATTGCTCAGATCTCATGACCACAGGTGAGGGTATTTATTCAGACTTTAATTTCCTTCCAGGTTAAGCCTGTTCTGTGGTTTCAGAGGTTGGTGGTTCTGATGATGTGGTGTTAATGTTAAAGCTCTCTGATGTTGGAGACTCTATTAAACCAAACGTCCTTCTCATTATGCAGCGGAGGGTTTTTATCCTCCTGCTGCCTCTCTAACATGTTTCTGCTTCAGGATGAAGAGGTTTTCTGTCTGAAACCAATAAGCCTGAACCGTTCCATCAGAAGCTCCCAAACAGGAAAAAAAAAAAACACCCAGAACTGGAGCCAAACAAATAGAGCAACATCTTCAGCGCGCTAATAAATCACCAACACCTACAGACATGAACCCCGGGAGGACAAACACACACTAACAGTAATCAGAGTAAAATAGTCTAATATAAAATCGAAAAATTCTCACTTGCAGTTTTCCGCATAAAAGGCGTCTCTGGGTGAGGGGGGGGGGGTTCATTTATCAGCCGGCTGGTCTATAAGTTCACGCCTCAGTGGGCCGCTTCACTATTTATTAGGTGGGTTTTCTATGAAGAGCCGCATTGATTGTGAATAGTTTAAGTTGATGAATGTGTGGATATTATTTATTAAGGCGGCAGGCCGGGAGATTAATGCCCAGTTATTGTTTATTACAGTGGAAAGAGGAGGAGGTGAAGCGCCGCCGCAGACACACAAACAGCACATAAATATTTGCACACACAAGCAGATGTAAATATGATCTCCAATGCATGGATTACCACACATGTAGCTCTGAGGTTTGAGCTGCAGAAACAGCCTCTGCCTTAAAACGGCCAGTAAATAAAACAACTCTGACTCCAGCTGAGGCTGCAGAGCCACTGAGAGTAAAGGTGAGTTCCACAGCAGGGGGGGGTTCTGATGCAGCGGATGAAGCTGGAGAGCAGAGGGAACGGCAACCGTTGCACCGCCATCCAGGAGGCAACGCGTTCAGGGAGGAAGGAGATGTAGCTCTTCAATAAGCTAAAGCTAAATACAATAACTGGGTGAAGATTTTCTTCTTCTTCTTCTTCTGCCATGAAGACGTTTATTTCAGTGAATTAAATGTTAATCGGATTAATTTGTCACTATGTGATGAAATAATAAAAACTGGATCCTCTTCATCATCCAGTAGGACTGATTTCATCATTTCCTTTGATCCTAACATTTAGTGAAGTATTGTTTCAGACCAGAACCTGCTGGACCTCTGGTTCTGGTTCTGGTTCTGAACAAACGTAACTTTGTTTTTTTTTTTTTTGGTTTTTTTACGGCTCTAGTGGCTCTTTTTTTGGACAGTAGGCTGAAAGGAAAGGTCGCCCGCGTCGAGGACTAAAGGCCTGGTTATCGTCCTGCAGATATTTTTGATTTATGCCCAGTATTGAAGCGTGGTCTGCGCTATGTTGTTCCACGCCACAACGCCAGAGGGCCAATCAGGAACTAGCTGTGGGTCTACATACGGCCGAAGCGGTGAGGAAGTGGAGGCAAGTTTGTGCAACAACGGAGGGACATGAGGGCCAAAAAGAGCGGAGATCCGGGTGGAAAAAGGTTCCCAGCGTTCTCGCGCACCTCGCTCTGCTAGCTGCTCCATCTTCACCAGTCGTTTTCCACAATGGCGGTCAGACAAACAAAACAAGCGAGTAAGGAACTAAACAGGAAATACGCATAGAGTAGAGCGGTTGTAGATTTGACCAATCAGAGGCCTCCTGTCTGCGCTCACCTACAATTTGGGAGAAGTGCAGCAGAGTGTCTGCGGAAGGGGGCGGGGCATATCTGCGTTCACTGAGACACACGCAGACGACCGGGTTTCTGAGTATACAGGTGCTGGTCATAAAATTAGAATATCATGAAAAAGTAGATTGATTTCAGTAATTCCATTTAAAAAGTGAAACTTGTATATTATATTCATACATTACATACAAACTCATATATTTCAGATGTTTATTTTGTTTAATTTTGATGATTACAAATGACAACAAATGAAAATCTCAAATTCATCATATCAGAAAATTAGAATATTGTGAAAAGGTTCAAAATTGATGGCCCCTGGTGCCACACTCTAATCAGCTAATTAACTCAAACCACCTGCAAAAGCCTTTAAATGGTCTTTCAGTCTAGTTCTATAGGCTACACAATCATGGGGAAGACTGCTGACTTGACAGTTGTCCAAAAGACGACCATCGACACCTTGCACAAGGAGGGCAAGACACAAAAGGTCATCGCTAAAGAGGCTGGCTGTTCACAGAGCTCAGTGTCCAAGCACATTAATAGAGAGGCGAAGGGAAGGAAAAGATGTGGTCGAAAAAAGTGTACAAGCAAGAGAGATAACCGCACCCTGGAGAGGATTGTGAA